GGTATCTTTACTACTCTACGTAATCTACGCGCCCATTCGAGGGCGGTGTCTTAAATCAAATGTAAACTTATAGGTCTATTAATTCCTTAATTGACCCCAATTCCTCAACCTATTGCTATTCTTACGGTTGTGCTCAGACCGAAGCAAAAGAGGAAGTGAGGAGCTAGTCCTCTCTTCCTACCCACCATGCTTCCTCTCCTCATCGCACTTAGTGTGTGCCTCGATTATAGAGGGGCTCCACCGGTCAGAGTACCGTTGACTACATAGACACTTCAATAGGCATAGTAGAGCCCAGGGCCGCCGAAAAATAAATGGCACTTACAGTAATGGTCATAAATATTATCACATTATTTATGAGTCGTGAAAAGTAGTAGATCATAATTTATGCCACCAAGGTACTATTTTCATGCATAATTTATGAGAAGGTACACTTCTTACTTAGGTTAGTATGCGGAAAAGCTTACCTTCGGTTAGCCTCTCCGAACCAATCATATATTCAAACATCTATCCGACACACTGCCTCCTCACTTTCCAATTTTCTACTTCTCCTACAAGCTCTACACCTCATGCTAGCTACGCCTCGTCCCCGGTCAGCTTTCTCCAACGCCCAGATTGTGGCGTACTTCTACTCACCGTGCCGTGACCAGTACGATGAGCTTGTGCCGGAGTACTTTCGCTGCCGCTGCGGTAAGGTACGCAAGCAGACGAGCCGAAATGGCTACACCAATCTCATGCAGCATGTGCGCAGCGAGCATCCAACCTTCCAAGAAGAGATGCTCGCAGCCACAACCGCTCAAACCGGTTCGGTGGTGCACTATGCTCGCCGCACGGCCGTGAACCGGTTCGGCTGGCTTGAGTGGGTTGTAAAGGCAAATCTGCCTCTCATGTTCTGTGAGAACCCTCTCGCTCGCCGGTATGAATTACTATTACTACTCTATAATAATGGTTATACTAATATGAATATGCTTGATTAGGTACACTTCTTTGGAGCCTATCTCAGTGGAAACATTGCGTGCGCTGCTCGAAGGCGTCACTCGCTCCGTTGAAGCAGCTATTGCGGCAGAGCTACCGGATGCTTTTGGCATCATGTTCGATGGGTGGACCCACTCATCCGAACATTACGTCGCAGTGTTTGCGTTCTATGAGCTCGATGGCGTTGCTAAGACGGCGCTTCTGAGCATGGCCCCGGTGATTAACGAGCCCGACGAGGACTTGTCGGCCCGTACCCACCGCGAGTTTTTGGTGGGAATGTTCGAGCGAGATTATGGTAAGGATGTAAAATGCTGCAAGTACCTGGTTGGAGACAACTGTTCAGTGAACAGGCGGTTGGCAACCATCATGCAAGTGCCTTTGGTTGGATGCTCTAGTCACCGACTAAATCGAGCCGTTCGTCAGCACATGGCCCAACACGACGACGATTTGGCTGCAGTGCAAGCCCAGTTGACCAAGCTGAGGACGATTAAGCAGTCGGCGAAACTTCGGTAAGTAATTTTTACTTTACTATTGATATTAATACTAATACCTTGTTGTGTTACTATTATGCCACTAATATGATATTTTTAATTGGTGTTTTTATTACTAGATTTAAGACTCCACTTCGCCCAGTCATTCGACAGGACACTCGCTGGGGGTCCACCTTCGCGATGGTACATCGCTATTTCGCTCTACTGGAGTTCCTAGACCAAGACGACGAAGAACTTCAGGACCTGCTTCCGTCTGCGGCATGCAACCGTCGTATTAAGACGCTCTACGCAGATCTCAAGGACTTCGAGTCGGTTTCCAAGGCCTTACAAGCGGAGAGTGTGAGCCTACTGGACGTGCGAGTCTGGTTCGACGGGCTTATCGAAGCCCATCCCGCGTTCGCTGCTTTTATCGGTACGTTATCCAATGTTACTATTGTTTTTTTAATATTCACTAACTAATTTTGATACACGCAGGACCTCGAGCAAATATCGTTCATAGCCCAGACTTTGAGTCGGGCTGTGTCCGTGTACCCAAAGGAAATGGAGCCCGCCTCACCGCGTCGGAGAAGCGGGCTCTTCGTCCATTTCTCGAAGTAGCCACGGACCCGACAAACCATAGCGAAGAAGCCGAACCGGAGTCACTTGTGCAGCGGCTGGAGAAACGTCGCCGTCTTGAAGCAAGAGAAGCTCGGTACTGCCTCGTTGGCAGCATCCCCGCCACCTCGAACAAGGTGGAGCGATTCTTCAGTATTGCTCGCACAACTCTTGGGCACGAGCGTAATGGCCTACAGCCTATTACGCTTGAAATGATCCTATTTCTACGAGAAAACTCGCGCTTTTGGGATGTTTCTACTGTAGATCAACTCCTGTAGCCCATAACGCGCTAATCAATACAAGCACGAGTCGATCACCATAATTGATTTATCACTAGCAGATATGACATTATTTATGAAGTCGATTGCTAGACAACGTCAAATTATTTATGATCACACTGAGCCTTCCATTCATATAAATATCATAATCGGCGTAACATGATGTTAGATGTTCATACCTTCACTATCGCATGCAATATCGGGGGCCGTTGCAAGGTGTTTAGCAGCTAGCGTTGCCTTCAGCGGGCAATCCAGCGTACACCAACATCTGTCACGACGGACACACGATTAGGATCATTAATAGCGAAAGCGATGCCCTCGCCGACCCACCTGTCCTCACGCATTCCACCCTTAGATGTAGGGCCTTCGTCCACTACCGCACGAACGCCTGTAGCATCGCTCTTTATGTCCCTGCTGATCCGCGAAATGGGCGGGAGATTCAAACAGCCAACAGTTTTGCAGGGAGTATATCACCTTAGGCGGGGTACCGCGGGAATCAGTTTACCGGAAGCTTTAACGTATCCATGAGTAGACAGCTGTTATATACTTCAAAGTATAAATTAGCACAAAAAAAGGCTGTCCTCCTATAAGCATATGACTTAGATTTCAAGCCACTTCAGGTGTTTTTGAGATCGTAAATGACGAATTTTATTTGCATTTTGTTGCTAAATGTCGGAAGGTCGCGTAGGCATGTATTGTGCATTTCAATGCTTTTGTCCATCTGATGCTCGATTTACAATAAATAGAGATCATTTTGTTAAATTGAGGTCTATAATGAGTACAAATCGATCTAGCTTGACTGGCTGATAAATCGAGCTACCGCAGCCAAATCGTCCGCTCGGGATCGATCAACCACCAAATTCACATCGATATCCTGTAAATCGACCGTTTTTGCCGTTTTGAAATGGTAATTCGATCACACATAAAACAAATCGGTGCCTCCCTCTTCCCATCTCATTTTTACGCGTGGTTTATTCTCCGATCATGCTCGATCTAGGCTATAAATCGGATGGACATTCCATCTGCAAAGCACAATAGAACACATCGCTTATCGTAGTAATAGGAAAGGGTTGTTTTTGTTTGACTATAAAGAATGACTGACTTCGTTACTTTACTTAGTCGAAAACCCTTGTTAGTACATTCGAGTGTGATTCGATTACGTACTACCGTTTCGAATCCATATGGACTAAGTACATCATCATTGCGACCACTCCCCTGCTGATAACTTTGTCGGAAGCCTTGACTTTGTAAGATTCATCGGGTAGGTAGCATATGTAGTTCTTAGACGACAGCGATACCTGTCCATTCATCTTTGAATAAACCTGGTGTACGACGATCAAACTTGGCTACCTTCTTGCTATAATTGCGCGGAAACCAATCGTATTTGTGTTGTTTGAAGTGGTCGCACAGCACGGGCTTAATACATTTTTGTAATGGGATCTCACAGCTGAAAGTCATGTATGCTGGGTCTGCATCCATCTCCTGATATTGGAAGTCCGATCTATCGAAGTAGAAGTTAATGCAGTCGTAGTAGAACTGAAGCATGCGTAGCTTGGCCAGTTGATAGATAGCAATGCTTACATGAATTGGATATTCGTTTCTGATACGAGGCTTTTTCATGGTGATCTCACATGAATCATTAAGCTCCTTTAATCCATGGAAAGTGAAGTGGTCAATCCGGCCCTTAACAGCTTTATTATTCGATTCATTTTTCACTTCCTTTTGCTTGCTCATATTCATGCCGTTGCGCCCGAAAGCGCTGTTTTCTACGAGTTTCATCTCTGCGATCATAGCTCTAGACTTATCCACGTCGCTCTCTCGTCGAGCATTAGATACTGCTTCCATAAA